TGCAGGAGAGAAGCCTTTGCTCGCAGAGTAAGGTTGTTGGAGGGGGCGGGAGGGGGGGTCCTTTGGATAGTGAGGCTCAACCTGTGGTAACCTGTTATGGCAAGATACAAACAATAAAAAAATTCTTTTCCTGGGAAATAAAATACAATCATTATCAATACATATAATTATATAAATGTACACATGACGTGTTATTGTGTTCCCAAACCTAGTAGCCTGTTCCAGGCTTTCAGATGGTGGGGAGCAAGATAACTCATAAGAAGCAAACACGGAACGAAAAAAGGGGAAAAAATGACGTAACACTGGGGCAAGGGGGGGTTCTCTCCTTTTTTGCCTGTCTCTCTTTGCACTAGTCAATTTTTCACCCACGCTTTACAATCATACTATTCATGAAATGACAGAGACAGTAACCATAATAAAAAGTCACATACAGTCCCGCTCAAAAGTAAGTTACATGTTGCGTCTCATTTCCTGCACGACGAGAATCGCGTCACATGCTACGCGCTTCTCGTCATGCGTACAGTGTAATTTATACACAATGCAACCACCCTCTATTAGGTTGTGCTCACCTCTCCTTGTTTTTCCTTTGGAAGTCCCATACATTCATCCATGACGTGCCCTACAACATACAAAAAATAACCCTTAAAAACAGTTAACTACAAGTACATACAGGCCAGTATGTTACTGTACAGTACTTGTATCTTGTACCTATTTGCCCACAGATCTCACATGGTTTCTTCTGGTTTGGTTTGAACTCTTCTCTGATGATTGTAAAGTGAAGTTCATGAGTTGCAAGCCCTGTGGATGAATACAAATAAATAATCAGTGATCAATCCACTTCAGTACATTTCACTGTACTAGTGGACAGTAGATTCAACTTATGAATTTATGGATGGGCTGTATTTCTTCTTGGGCTAAAAATGTGACAGTTGTTTGCTCCAATGCTCGTCTTTAGAAGACTGAACAGGGAAACAATGAAAAGCCATAAAATATGACCTCTAATGAACTGCTTTTTTCTCCTTGAAAATACAATTGTCTCTTATTTTGCTTGTAAAACAAAAGGATAATTCTAAGTACATGAAGAATCCCTTAAGAATGATACACTCTTCAGTATTATCACATTACTTCGATAAACAGCCTGTATACCTGTAATTATTAGTATAAATCTACTTACCAAGCATAATCAAGTCAGCTGAAAGAAAAGTAAATATATGTACATTTAAGTATTCATATACATTGTATAACATGGTAAAGCCAGCTACATGTATCACTGGTACATACATTTAAGATTATGTTCCAATATGTATGATTTCTTGTGATAGACAGCAACGGTTTGTCACAGTCATGCAATATTAAAATATATTTCAATTCACTAATGTTAACAAAACAAATTATTAATAGTAGTTTTAGAATTCTGTCCATAAATATTCAAATGGTATGAAGTTTAATCATTGTGACTCATTCCTATCTGGGTAATTTTTAGTAGTGAATGGAACGAAGAAAATAGAATATACGTAACAGAACATCATACACTATATACCACATACCATCAGCTCCATTTAAACAGTGCTTTGTGTTAGGGTCATGATCAGGACTTGCTGAAAGAAAAAAAGGTATGTGCAAAATAATCCTCAGCTTACATGAGGCTTATATGAAATCACTACCAGAAATATCTCCACACCATAAGAGAAACAAGTTCAAAGGAATAACAGTTTCTTATAATTTATTATACATGTTGTAAATTAATTAAATACACAGGTACGATTGTTTATTCTAGTAACCTCTCTGCTTTCTGATGTAGTCCATGATCTTATGTTCACCCTCTCCTGGTACATTAGCATCTGATAAAATAACCTAAAAATACATCAATTAACTTAGATCAGATTTTAATAAAACTTGGAATAACTTCTGCATTAGTTATTCTGTACTTCTCTCATTCTAGCTACATAGTTATCATCATTTCAACCAAGCAAAAAATTACATTAATTTGTCGACTTGCAACTTGAGTCTCAAAGTTCAGAAGTCTTGTCTCAAGACTTGAGTTGAGACTCAAAATTCTGAGAATCAACAATCAAGTATTGAGTCTTGACCCAGAGATAACAGTCAACTAACACTGTACATTTGGTTAATGCAGTACTGTAATACTAGATTTATGGCATTTAATCAAAGATACAAGAATATTAGAGGTGACTGTAACAACAATAAGTTTATCTGATAAAGGGACATTTTATACTGCTTTAAAGTCATGCAGATTGATCAAAATAGACAATAGTTATTTTTTAAGAGCTACAAAAAAGTGCCCTGCATCAAAGACATAATCTGACCCCAATTAGTAATATGCAGGCTAACAAAAAAAATGATAAGAACAAGCATGCTACAATAAGACATGGATCATGAATGTGAAAATTCTTTGTGCTACAGTGTGCATGTATGTGTACCAGTGAACACCATAAAATAGTTGTATTTGAATGTAATGTACCTTTATATTCTTCCATCCAGGATCATTGTTTAGCCGGTCAGCAATGTAGTATCGCAAGCACACTGACAAGTTGTCCATAAATTCTGTTCCCTATTGAACAATGACAGAAAAGTCAGCATTATTGTCAGTCCTCATTCAGTTCTCAGAATCATCACCAGGAGGTTTAAATAGTTTTTTCTCATAATTCCTTGTATGGTCTGCTATTCTTTAAAAGGCTTAAAATATTATACTTATAAACCCACTAACAGCATGCATTTATTGCCAGTATACATGTATACAGTACATGTGTGTCTAATGCTTCACATGTACAATGTACAGTGTGTATTTAGCAGAATCCTACTAACAGTATACCATCGTAATGGCATTAAAAATAGTTATTTTAATTTTTATCAAATAGAATTCTCAAGAAAAATTCCCACTTACAGGTGTGATACAGTTGCTGTCAAAGTGTTCTGTCTTTTCTTTTTCTGGTGGTAAAACAGCTCCTACACAAGAAAGCAAAATAATTTACAACATTATGGCGATCAGACATTCTTTTTAAGCACTGGTTTGGTTCTCAGTCAAAGGTATAATGGACAATAAAACCAGCACTTGCCCGGCAGTTTATACCACCTTTCCTGTTAACATCTCAAGCTGATCAACAGTGCTAAAGAGACTCTACCTTTCTCCTTAAGTTCACTTCGTATCCGAGCAATATCTTCAGCTTTTTCCCTAACGAAGTAAACACAAAGGAATTCTTACAGATGCAACACACAGTTTGTATCCATATATAGAGCACAGTGCATCAGTGCTTGGTACTGTTTTAGGGGGGGGGGGGGGGGGGGGGTTGTGCCCCCTATTTTTTAGACCTGCCCCCCCCCCCCCCCCCCCCACACCAACCAAACCACAAACCCCCCCCTCCCTTCTTCTTAGAAAAACACAACTTTTTGCCTGTATAAAAATTTTCTTTTTTTTTTTTTTGAGGTGGAAAAACAAGAAAAAGTTCTGCAGGAAGAAAGAAATAAAAGAGAGAGGGAAGAGGATTCTTTGACAGTGGTTCTGATTTGAGTGTATAAAGAGAGAAGGAAGAAAAAACGCAAAGTAACGTTCAAACATACTTACACGTTTGTGTTCATATGGAGGGTAGGGCGGCGCGGGGTGCTTGGGTTGTTTGGGGGGGGGGGGGGGGGGGGGGCAGGTCTCCCCCCAATTTTTTTCAGGCCTCAGTTTGGTCTTAAAATAAGGGGGTGGGGGGGCCCCTCCCCTGGATCTGCCACTGACCAATATCCACATACAAATTCTCCAGACTGATCTCAACACATCTCCTTACAGAATTGGTTGGGAGAATTTGGTAAGAGATCAAAGCCTTCTCCCTTTGGCGATCACTTTATCAATTCTCATAACCTTTTCCCTTAATGATGTAAGGATATTGTTAGGAGAACATAATTGATGTTGGTTGCTGATGAGACATAAAGGAAGGTCTAGGGCTGTTCTCCAGCAGTGCCTGGTGGCCTGTGGCATCTAACGTTTGCCCCTGGCTACTAGAAAATCTCAGTCTTTTCATAGAAATCCTATGCTGGGCACCCTGGATTTCACAGGTTCAGAGCACTGGGCTCCCTTTGATTTTCCTTAGAGCACAGCCTTGGGGTCACAATTAAGGGTTAACAAACAGCATGTGTACTTACTTAGATTCCTTGGATGCTCTGAAACGACGTGATCTTTGCTGATTCATTTTCGCTCTTGGAGCCTAAATAAGAAAATTGCTATTCAATTATTATGAACCACATATATAATAACAATTTACACATGTATTTGCAGTGTGTAAGGTCTATACACAGGGAGCTAACAGCACCAATGCATGTTTGAATATTGGGGTTTTGGCAAAATTTTTCAATGATTTTGAATGCACTGCCTTACTGGCTAAGCCCTGTTTTAATAACTAGCCTTCTTTATTACAGTTTGTCTTACCACTCCATCAATGGCCATGTAAAGTAGCTTTCTTGGTCTCACAATTGAAAATATTCTAAAAAGACAAATACTTATTTTAGACTACAACTGTACATGTATGAAAAAGCAGAGTAAAGCACAAAGAAAAAAGTTAATGGACAAATGAATTTTTGGAACAAATATACATGTTTTAATACTGCTATGTTTACATAATTATTACTCAACATTGTAACAAGATCATCTCCGAGGGAAAAAGGTCAAACTGATTTCTTTTTAAAAAAATCACCTATCATGCAGGGGAATTACCTGTCAATATATTCAAAAATTGCTACCATCATCTCATCTTCATTCTTAGGAGCAGGCCTGGTGACATAACAAAAAGGGGGGTCACTTTAAAAAAATGCATGATCACTAAATAGCATGCAAAAATAGCCATCTACCCTTGCTCCTTGCTGCTGGGGACGTTTTGCCAGGAGAAATGACTGCACCTCAGTGACAGAAATTGCATATTGATGCACAAATCAATGTTTTTTAAAATTAATCTGGTGGTCATAAGTTTCAAATTGAAATTTGTTTGATTTGAGGTTTATCCTGTTTGATTTTGGTAAAGTTTTGTTTTCTTCTGCGAACGAGCTCTAGCAAAACTCACATGCTTCTTCTAAAGAAGAATATATTCCACAAAGGTTGACTGTTTTGTAATAGATTCACCACATTTACATTTGACTATCATGGCCTTTTGTCTGTCATTCGTAAACAATAGCTAAAACAATATAACTACTATATCGACCAATCAGAGCTCCTGACCAAACACTGGACAGATTTAACATCATCAGTACAGAATTTCCGTCTCAAAGGTGCAGAAGTCTCCTGTGGCAGAAAGTTTGGATCAATAATATTTTGGTTTCTGGAAAACTGCCCACCTACCCCTCCCCTAAGCCAACATTATCACTTACTTCTCACTTAGGGCAAAATGATGGCTTAGCGGAGGGGTAGATGGGCAATTTGCCAGAAACTTAAATTGATCCAAAAGTTTCTAGCAGCAAGGAGCAAAGGGAGATAGCTGTTTTCGCGATCGTAAAATGGATCATTACAGCTTGGACGTCCGAGTTAAATTAAAAGAATTGATGCACTTACAATAAAACAAACTGTAAAAATCATCTACAGGTAATAAGTAAAGCCTATTTTTATGATCTTACTTGTTTTCTGGATGGCAACATGGATGGATGATACCATTCATATCAAGGTACAAATTGTCAAACTCGTAATCATTTGGATTTGGTAAACTAGTATCCAGTGGAACTTTTACACCATTAACATCACGGTTCTATGAAAAGAAAGCTCACAACGATGAAAACATATCTGAGAAAATAATTCCGCTTAGATGTTCTTAAGACTTATTACAAAGTCACACCAACAGATAAAGATCGAAACAGAATGACCAATTTTACCGGCGATAAACGCAAAAAGGCACGTGGACAAAAATTTCACATACTTTTTCCTCAACGCAGTGGACCACTATCGATGGATATTTCTTCGAAAGCCAGCGGAAGAAAGCTGGAACTCCCATCGCTTCGTCTTAAAAACGGGTGATTCACGGCAGTTGAGAAGGGATAAACTAGAAATTGCCCTGGCAAACCCTTGAAGGTTTGTGTTCCGATATGGCGGAAGTTACTTTCATTTGGTACCCGCTGACCAGTTATTTCGCAATTCTGCATCTCCTCCCCAGTCTTCCCTCCCGTCCTCTCAAAGTTTTTGCGTCGATCGGGTTGATTATGTTAGTGTGGCTGTCTTATAATTTTTTCTCACGATGTAGGTATGGCTGGAAAATACAAAGAGAGACGTGGAGGAACAGTTCTCTGATACCCACAAAGAAAGTAGTCAATTAGGGTCCTAACCCAAGGGATTGGATGGTTGCTATGGACACCAGGTCCAGATCGTAATACTGGTAGAGGTCCAGAGGATGGGAGGGGAAGAAGAATAGAAAGGGACAGCCTGAGAAAGCAGCCAACATTTTGCGATGCTATTACTGGTTTCCTTGCAAAATAATATCTCAGGAATAAGTGTGCTCATTCCTCAGACTTAACGTTGAGGGAAAACCATTGGGTGGCATCGCGAAATGTCAAGAGTCTTTTTCTGGCTACCTGAGCATCAAGCATTTCTGGGGGAAAAGAAGAGAAAAAAAGGGAGATCTGGAAGGGAAGGAGAAAAAAATCTCCTCTCTCCTATAGCAACCCAAGAAGGCCTGATACTCAGGTTAACAGAGGTATGTTGTACTTAATTTTCTATCTCGGGAAATTTTTATTTTACTTTTGTTTCAACTTCATTAGCACACATTACCATACCCAAAAAAGCTTAGAAAACAAACCAATTTTTTTTAAACAGAACTTTGTGTCATATAATTCTGGGATAAAAAACTTTTGGACTTCTAGCATACCTTTGCTCAATTTTGCTTAATGAGAGGGGTGTAAGGGTTTGCTGTGATGTGGTTGTACTTGATTTTTGGTGTGGTTTTGCAGAAATTTTCATTTTAATTTGCTGTACTGTGGTTTTACAAAACCAAGTGGTTTGCGATATTTAGACATTTTCGGGTAATTTCAATGTGGTTTACTGTTTTCTTGTTATTTTGTGCGACATGTAGACGTTTATCTGTGCAGTTTTTCGGTGTTTATACTCCCCTTACACCCCCCTCCTTAATCACTCAAATAATTAGAGACCAAAAACTGTCTGCCTTCAGTCCACTGGCTCAATCCATTCAACCAAAATATTTGCCAGACAGAATTTCCAAAATTCTATGAAGTTGGATGGAATATAATCATTGACTTTTTTTTGTTTTACGTCTCTCAAACGACAAATTTCACACTCTGGGACAGTCAGAAAGAACCAGTTCTTTCACTTTTGGTTTGGTTGAATCGACCACACCAATTATCAACAAAATGCTATTAAGTAATTTGTTGAAATAAGCCGATAAAAAAAAAATACTAGTTAGCTGATAATTTGATGCAGTTTGTTTGACATATGGTTTATGTGTATGACAATAAGTTGATGTCATAGTTTCCATCAATATCAAATCGTCCAATGACTGTATCATGTTTCGCAGATTTCAGCTCATGTATCTCTGCCCACAAATGTTGAATGTTGGAAGCGACATTGTCAGAATTTGGACAGTTTGGTGATGATTTAATTCCCACTTGATTGCGACAAGCAACTGACTGAAGCCAATCTGGAACCAATGCAGAGCTGGTGGTTGCCGGTGGATAACATTGCAACTCATCAATGCCAAAACTATTCCAATGAGGCGACGGTTGTTTCAGAATCAACCTCAACATTATAACTTGAGATGATGACTTGGTAATATCACTGATAGATATTGAGAAACGATCCTGGCTCCCCGTTTCAAAATGAGGATGAGGCATAAGCGTGTAGTTCTTTACTGCAGTTATCCATGTTTCATTGCCTTCACCGTTCAAAATCTTTAGTTTGATCGTGATAGACGCAGTGTAGCAGTTTTTAAAAGTCAGCTTCCCCAATTCTACACTGCTGTTTCCCGGGAAAATAACGTCAACCACAGCAACACCAGATTTAAAATTATCGTTTGCAGAATCTCCAATTTTCAAAGGTACAGGTTTCTTTACGATAAAATTCAAAAGCTTTGGTTTTGACTGAACGTCGGCCGCCATTTTGAATTTTTCCTTCGCATTCGAGACGGACTAAGAACCAGTTAAGATCAATTCATTCCCAGGGCCCGCTCATCAAAGTCCTACCTTTGATATATTGTAAGATTGCTCGAAAGGTTTTTTCAGGGTCAATACCCCCCAAGTTTGAGCATAAGCTACGTTTTCATTAACTAAAGTTTGGAAAAATTACAACCACAGCTGTATTAGATAAAGATGAAAATTAATGTTCTGATCAGGTTTACAATGACATCGGAGTTGTCATAGCAACGAAATGACGCCTTGACCTATTTTACTTGCAGCCGTACTTTTTCGGCACTGGGAACTGATCTTCCTAAATTGTTCAAGGGAGCTTTTTCCTCTAGTAGCCGCCTCGATGTTGGTGAAGTCCTTTAAGCGAAATCTGTAAGAGCGTTATCATAGTATTTTGCCATGAAGTTTTTATAGAAATATTGTACAAACTGGGCAATCTTGATGTTCGGTCGTTATCGGTAGAAAACGAAGCGCTTTTGAAGTGCAATTTCGCCTCATAGTAGTTTCAATCTTTTTTAAAACGTGTGTGAAGCATCATGGAGATAGCACTAGCCGATTTCCAGAAAGAAGGATCATTAGTATGTATCGAGGCGATCTTGTTGACGGTTTTGTAAACATTTCGGTCCTCTTCAACAAATAAGCGAATAATTTTGAAACTGCTCGGTAGATTATTTTTAAAAATTAAAGATTCTCGATATTAACCGTCGTTTTATATGACCTTTGAATTTGAAGATTATTGATATCTTGTAAGGCTACAAATAAGGGCTACAATTGGCTAATTTTTGGTCGGAAATTTGGTGTTTACAAATGAGAACATCCATTATTCAGGTGTATTGTCTCCTATTGTCTCTCAGGCAGGACCAAAAGAGCGGCAGAAATGGAGCCTTAGTTAATGAGGACGTAGCTTATGCTCAAACTTGGGAGGTATTGACCCTGAAAAACCCTATCGAGCCACTTTAAACAAGAGTGCAGTTTTTCCTGTGCAAAAGTTTTAGTATTAGCTGTGACGTCGACGTCCTTCATCCTCTCCCCTCTAAGGCTAAATGGTAGATCACTTGAGAAGATTTGCAGTGAGGTAACAGGCAGCCTTAAGTCATAAAATGGGCAAAATTTTTAGTCGTTGGGCGTGTACCCTGGAAATGTTTGACCATTGAGACGTAAAAGAGTGAAACATAAAAACGTTCTCTAGCCACAATTTGTCATTTAGAGAGAATCAGATCGCTTGTTGACTTTGCGTCTTGTCTGGTGGCTGATAGACACTATTTCATCCAGAAATATCCTTAGGGTCCTATAAATTTTAGAAATGTGTTTTGCAAGCAGGGGAATTAAATTTGAACTTTTGAAACCATTGATTTTTATCAAAAAAACGGTGAGGAATTAACTATATTAGTCGTAAAAAGCAAATATTAACCGTTACCCGAACTGTTTCCACTCCATTGAGATACCATCTTATTCCAGAGGGCTAATTTCGCTTACAGTAAGAAAGACTATTAAATACCACAAGTTCTTTACTGGCTTTAAAGGATTCTTTTTTAAAGATTAAGAGAGGAGATAAAAGACATGAAGCACATTGTCGCGTGCTCTTTGCTCGACAGCAAGAATATTTATAGTTTATTAATTCAAGACGGTGTTTTGACAGCTGTTAAAGCTTGCTCTGAGAGTTTGCGTAAATTGCGCGACAGGAAAAACTGGGTAATTAACAACACTTTTATATCCATGACAGAGCATTTTCCATCCAAATACGTTTAATATTGTACGCCATTGAAGTACTTGCAAGCTAAATAACTGTGCAAAAAAACATAGGTCCGCAATACGTACTAATAAATTTTTAGCATGAGCAGAGGAGCACTCAGTTATTGCAGTCTAAATGTTAAGTCCAAAATAGCTTTTAATTTTTTTTCTTTCTTTAAGCTTGCGATTCCTTTTTTATTTTTACTCTTCCAAACTAACTTAGAGACTAGGACCGCATGATGAGTTTAAAAGAACATGCCCTTCGCACGGACTAATGTGATACTCGTCTTAAAGGTCTGAAATAAAGCGTATTCTACAAATACTTCCACTCTAATTTCATGGTCAGAATGTTGTAAAGATTGTTTTTGGACCGTTATAGAATCAGTGGAAGTGACCTTTGGTTATGTTTTTCAAGTATTAACTTAAAACTCTCTTGATTTTATCTTATAACTTGCAAATAGGCTCTTTGATCTCGGCACCGTTGACTTAATCGTTTTTCCCACTCAAAATAGAAACTCTAGACAGTGTTTATTACAAAATGACACAAGCAAAGGATTATCATCTTTGGTCATGCGAGCAATGCGAAGTTCAGTTCTTTTCCGCATCTTCCATCGCACATAGCGTGAGTGTTTTCCTAACTAACAGAGACACACACGAAGTCGTGTGCCACTTTACAGTATCCTAAGATAAAACTACATTTTAATTTATATCCAATATTTGAGCCTCAGCCGTCTGCCGACAAAGCAATTACGTATGAATCTGCTTTAAATAAGTACTTTATTCAGTAGTACTTCCTTGAGGTTCTGTTTTGATGATAATTTTTTTATTCAAAGTTTTCCTATTCTTACATTGCGTCGTCTTTGCACTAAAGGGATCCTCGAAATTTCGAACCCCTTATAGTAATGCCTTGCTCGGTAGCGTATTGAAATGAAGTTAAGGTTTTGAAATTGCTTACCAATTTTCAACTGGATTACACGTTCAGATCAGACACTTGAAGACAGCTTTATTTTATTAAACCCGTTTGTTTCACTATAATTTGGAAGAAGAGGGTCTTTGAATTAATTCACATCCTATTTGAAATTCAGTGGTGGCCCGAGGGAAAAGTGTACGTTTGTCAGTGTGTGTGTATGTGCAGGGGGAGGGTGGGTGGGGAAGGGGTATTTGAACCATGTTTGGCTAGAGTGCCACTGGGGCCGAAGGCATGACCCAGGCATGACCTAACTTAGTACCTTAATTACCTACCCGGTGAAGGACAACGCCCCATTTTCAGACCTTCTGTAGGACTCCTGCTAGCCCTGGGAAAAATAAGGGCCTGTTAGCCATCCACCTGCTGTATTCAAGGATTTATCCTTGACAGCTTTATCGCTGGGAATCCCATCAGCATATAGTTAGGATTCAAGGAGCAATTTGTACAGAACGGGCACGCGTTCTTTAGAGTATCTATGTTAGAACTGAACACGCAAGACATAAGAAACAATGGAGTCAAAACAAAGCAAAGGTAGTTACTTGATGATCATTACTCTAAGAACATTAAGTAAGTTATTAATGGTTGTTTCACAAAGCCACATGCCATCTTATGAAGGAAAACGTATTTTTTATATTTTTAATTTCTAACGCACCATGTAACTCAACGCTCCTTTAAAATTTTGATTTAAGAAAAACGCTTATCTCCTTTCATACAGCTCACGCCGTCAAAAGGATGGAGACTGTTTACTCAGTTTAAGTAAAGAGTTTACCGTTAACTATCTTAACCAAAGGTCACTTAAAATTTTATCAGAACACTGAAAGTGGCTTGAAGGCTATTATTTACACTCTGAGAACTGACCGTGAACTTGAAGTACAGATATATCTATTTGTGGAATAGCCGTAAACGTATCACCTAAGTCTGCTGTTCCCAGTTCAAGGCCCTGAAAGCAATGGGCACCTCTTAACTCCATCCGCGTATCTTAACTATGACAATGAATGCTCTTTCTGCAAATGAATCTACTGTACAAACTCAGAGGAAATTAATTCGTACGTATTGCGAAACTCGTGCCATGAATGACGTCAAACAAAGAGTAAGAACTTAAACAAATAACGTTTTGTTAGTTCTTATTCTGATCTTTCCTTCTGTCACATGGGAATGGATGGAAGTATTATTCCTAAAGTCTGTTCTGCCCTTATGACGCAAACTGTACTAGTTTGATTTGAAAGCTTGATGAACAGCAACTAAAACGCTGTCCGAACAATGAACTAAATCCTCTTTTAATCTTTCGCTGTCGAGCGCGCAAAGAGCACGCGACAGAACTTAGCCTACCTTTATCCTCTCTTAGGCTTAACAAAAAGAATCCTCTTAAGTGAATGGAGAACTTTTGGCATTTGATAATCACTGTTAGATAGCAAACCAAATCAACCTGCAAAAATACTGGATAAATCTCCTAAAACTACTGAGGAAAAGCTTCTTTAAAACAAATCTCTAAAGTTACTAGACACTCAAGGTTTGAGTCACGTGATCTTTCACTTGTCTTTCATTGGAGTCAATTTTTTTGCATGAAAGCTACGAATGTGCCCAGATTTTATAGCTGAGAGTGTTACTGAAGTGTGTGGAACGGGTGCACTTCTTTTACTCCTAGCCTGATAATCCAAATTAAAAAGTTCACACACAAAAAAAAAACAAATTTCTTTTTCGATGGTAAAATCCTAGGATTTTCTCCACAGATTAAAATGTTGGAAGGACAAATGATATCACCATAATTTTATCTTATTCTTGGAGTGAGAAGCTTAAACTGTTACTAGTCCATCAATGAAATCTTTTAGTTTGATTATTCCGATGAATAATGGTTTAATAAAATGAAGATTTTAAAAGGATTGTTTCTTGCTCGGCTTTGTCACTGGAGTACAAAAACCGTTGTTCTAACAGATAAAGTCATTGCTGAAAACAGGAGCCATATGAAGGAAAAGTTTAACTTGTTGCTCGAAGTCTCACTTGAGCTCAAATTGAGTGGCTGAGATAGTGTTGCTGAATTCACTGAAATAAACGCTTTCTGGAAAAAAACGCCATCGCGTAATGCTGACTATTGTGTTTGGTGCAGGTTAATACGTGGTTATTCTCTGAGGTTTTGATTTTATGGCCCTCTTTAATAGTGGAAATTCTGCTGGATATCATGTCCAATTGTTGTCATTCAGAACAGAAGGTGAGACTTTTCGAGGCGTTTTCGAGGGTTATTATGCTGTACTATACACGCCAACTTCCAGTAAGCACGTCGATTCTTATTAAAGTTAATTTTACCGTACCTCTGATTATTTTACTAAGCATACACTGTCTACAGGGGCGGAAGAGGAAGAAAATTGAAAAAAAACCAAGCCGAAACAAACTCTAAGACGAACAGGTGTAATTTATTCACGAAAACATCTCTCGATAAGCAAAAAATTCGCCTTTTTCTAATTGGCTGCTGGCTCTACGCTATCGGTCAATATCGAACGTGAAAACAGCCGAACCCGCATGCCGGCTTCACATTTGAGTGCATTTCTTAATCTCGTTTTCAACAAAAACAATACCCCGTGCTGGTGTATATTTATCTAGACAAGAGTTTAGAGGGAGGCAGTATAAACTTGTAGAGTATTCGTCTGTAAATAAAATTCTAATTTCTGCAGCCCCCCAGGAGAGTACAGGAATGCAACGGGACACATGACATACTGTTATGAACCTCTTTAATCGTTTGTAGAATGCAGTTCGTGGTACGTGGTGTTGGTGGGTGTTGAGGGCCTTTAACATGGACGACCCCATTTCGTGCTAGATAATTGCATTTTGAGAAAACTGTGGTTAAAATCATGAAACCGTTAACCTTTTACCGGAAAATGAACCAGACTAGAGCTCCAAGTAACCCCATTGACGTAAGATTGAAGAATCATGGAATTCCAAAACAGGATCTTAATTCAGTATTGTTCGGCGGTACGTTGTTTAGCGGCAACGGACTGAAATGGATCCTGGGTCGGCTGACCGCATTGAAGCTAGACAAACTTGATAACGTACTGAAAAATTCTTTGGCATTAAAAGACATGTGTCAACCTTGAGCAATTCATTCATCTTCATCGTCCTCTTTTTCGAAAAAAGCAAAGGTGCAAACAAAAGAATTATTCAAAAGATTCTGTCAGTGGTATTTCAAAGGTTTAGCCCTCGAACTTCGTGGGAGAAAACGCGAGTTTTTAACATGGACGCAAGAAATGCCGATATTTTAATAAGGCAAAAAAGTCCTTTAAATTATGCGGATATATCATAGGACATTCGGTGACAAAACGGTAATTGTTTTTAATTCATTTGTCAAAGAGCACTTACTTTTCCCAAATGCTAAGTCTAATTCGGCACCACCATTTTAAAAACTGAGCAAATCGCACGCACTCAATGACCTTGAAAAAAATCGGCGCTCTGACGAAGATTATTGTTCCACGCGATTTCGGAACAATCTTCTAATAGGATTGGTCTCTGATAGCATATTTATTAAGAAAACAACACTATCAAAACGTCTAATGGTTTAATTGAATTCTTTTAGCAATTATGTCGATAATTTGGCTCAAACGTTCATCTTTACAGGCCACCATTAAATGGAATATTTCCTAGCGTACACTTCATATGACAAAAATCGATTCGACATCTTTTTGGGAATGATAAAAGTGATTTTACAAGGCAATAAAGATGGAATAAGATAAGATGAAGGAGGCCTAACCGTGCCAATGAAGAGTGATATTTTGTAATTGTCATTCTAAGCTGGGAAATAAGTTGCGTGTTTAGCTGAATAGAGCGGAAAGTGAAACGAAAATCCGCTAATAAAATGTTTAAGGAATGAGTCTGATGAAGAAAAGTTTAAGAGTTCGTTTCCTGTTCTTTGTTATATTCCTTGAAAACTAATGAGATGTCTTGAATACAAATGAATAATCTTGAGGGTGGCACTGTTTACGTTGCTAAAGTGATGTTTGACAATCTCAGATTGGTTTTGAAAACCACTCAAAAATCAGGAAGTTTTAACTGACAAGTTGAGATAAAAATACGACCTATGGCAAACAGCCTTGGTATGTCTCAGCGACGTTTGGACAAAAAAAGCCAAAACAATCACGGGGCAAAGTCAACACTGGCCCATGTCTACTGGTTATCATGAGTCTTATTTAACGCATGTTTTGTCTATACGAGGTATTATTGCATGTCTTGGTCTTCGGGCTTAACCAAGGGGGTATAATTTGGGACAAGATAGTTTCTTATGAGAATTTTAACTTTGCGTGTTCACAATCGTTTATGTCTTCTTTGCCACTGAATCAACAAAGTCTAGCCACAAACTCCTCAATTGAATGACGAAATGTGACCCCATTCCGGCGTTTTTCTGATAGTTTTTGTCTACTCTGTGTGTTATTGTTTCAAAAGACGAAGCCCTAGATAAATTATACCGAATTTCATACTTCGAGTTGTTGTTTTAGCCCGTTTGCTATCGGTTACCATTAATCGACTTGAATTACCGAAAAAAAAATCGGCGACCTGATCTACCAGTTAAAATCGGCGATATAAAACATTTCCTAAAAATTGCGTCATTTGCGTCAAATGTTTGTCAGGGAGGGAAAACGTGCCTTTTTACTGAACAAAAAAGACAAAGCAGCGTACCTTCATATTACCCTATTACGGGGCTTTGTTTTAATCTTAATGAATCATTTTTCCATTTAAAGGATAAAGTAGTTGCCATCGCAATAGTTTTACAAGTTAAAGAGAGCTAAATTGCCCGATTTCTTTGTGCTGTCGAGTTTTCAAATTGACTGTCGTAAGCTATCAATTTGTACAGGATATCACTTACATTAGAAAATTAAATGTGTTTCCGAGACTAATTGCATGTGCTTTAAATTTGCGGTCACAATTACATGCCTTTTAACTGGGCCATGTGCTGGCTTAAGAAGCTCTTAATTGCACTTGTTAACAAACAACAACCTTCATCCAATAAAAGCCTTCGATCTGTTTGTACATTATTTCTTCTATTAAGGTAGCACATTACATGAAAAAAAACCACTTAAGTCACTCTTCCGCGGATATTTCTAGGAGACAACTCTTATATATAATTACCACAGGCGCCTGCTTGCCCTAAAACGGCAATATACCGCACGAAACGACCACAGAAGTGAAACTTTAATCCGTCCTAACCCGTTGAATACAGTCTAGTGCGTTACCACACCCCGCTAACGAAAATCGTAGAAGGTGTCTTACAGATTTCCTAATTCGTCATCATCCAGCCTTTTTTTTTTGTACTTGAGTTTTGTCCCATGTTTGGCTAGGTACTTATGTTTTGCGTTAATCTTTTTGATAAGTGAATCCAAAGCACGCAGGATAATTAAGTTGTAACGAGGGGGCGGGATAGAGGCATAAAATTGAAATAGCAACCTTAAAGACCTCGCGTTTTATGTACTTTAAGTTGTAACTACTGGGCGTAATGACAGTTCCAACAATGGGCAAGGTAACGAACAATTGAACTGAAATTAAAGACGTTAACATTTTCCACGGAAGCCCTAAATTTCCAAACTCTTAATTACCCCAATTCCCTTGTCAAGCAAAAAATCCCTCAACCCCATTGGCGTGAAAAGAATCGTTGGCAAAATTCGTGCCTTGCTATATCTAAGAGCAAACCTCTAATTAGACTTTCTCTCCTTTGATAATCGTGTGTTGACAAGAGACTGTGTCAAATCGTTGAAAGAGCTGCCCGGAAAGATGATTTGATAAGCGTCTGACATATGTTGACTGTCACCCTTCTCGACACTGAAGAGCTACGTCCCCGCCTTCTGAAAATGACACATGTCGCGTTTATTTTATCGTCTTACGCGCGCATATTTTATGGCTCCAATGCTTGACTTGCGCTTATAATCGTATCCCAAGGACTATTTTCCTCAAAACCGGATGAAGTGCTTGCGATATGACTTCGTTCTCGATAAACAGCATACTCGATCTACAAGAGACTAAGAACGGCTCTCCTCAAACAAGCCGAGCTCATAAAAGTACGTTTGCCTTTCAAGAGGAAATTGAAGAACAGACAGAATACAGAGATGGTAGAAGATCTCCAAACACCAGCTCTTCGCTTGATAGAGAAGATAAGCTTACTTCTTATGAAGGTAAACTCTAAGTATGCTCCCTTTGTTCTCTAAATCGGCCAACCGGTTGTTTGTTCCCGAATCTATCCTAAAGCTATTTTAGTCGATGAGGTGCTCCATTACAAGAGCGTTTCCTCCCTTGATTCAGTCGCTCTATTTCACTATAATTAGATTGAGTGCTGCTAGACTTTAAAAATAAGTTCTGTACTCCAGACTTAAACGGTAAATTTAAAAACAATTCTTTCTGTTGTAGATATATTCCTGTCCTCATAAGAAACTCCAGTCAGTAAGGGGAAAGACATATTGATTCATCGTCTTGTTGCCCATTCTTATTTCCTCTTCTTATTGTCCAATGACTCAAATTTTCACAAAAATTTATTTTCAGCTGACTCCACAGAAAGGCTTGATACAGAAGATTTTAGCCATGAGAATGGAAATAGACTAGAAACAGATATCCCGAACACAAAAAAGCGAAAGCGACGAGTTTTGTTCACCAAAGCGCAAATCTATGAGCTGGAAAGACGTTTTCGCCAACAAAGATATTTGTCCGCCCCAGAACGCGAACAGCTCGCCAGACTTATAAACCTCTCTCCAACGCAAGTGAAAATTTGGTTTCAAAATCATCGGTACAAATACAAGAAACAAGTGGGTGATAAAGGACATGTACATATTACGGGAGATAGCGGTTTCCCGGCTTATATGAGCGGCCCTAGAATTGTACCTGTTCCACTATTAGTCCACGAAGGACAACCTTGTTATAGACATACGAGTGTTTCGTCGAGGCAGGAATTCACTAACTTGAATGGAATCACGGCATATCCACCGGTTCCGTTACTGTACTCAAACTCTCTGTATAATAATCGATACTGGGGTTTTTCTTAGATTATGTAGTAATACGTTGGTAAATAGTTGCACAGGGGAGGTTATTTTAGTCCGTACAAACGCAATCGAGAAATTAATCTTCTCTATGTATGAACTACTTACCTCTTGTGCAAGCTTATATTACGTTTTACATCACATTAGCACATTTAAAGACACGTCAAAAATAATCCTTCAAGATAAGTCTTTGATTCCACGATTTAAGAGGATGCAAACCTGTTCATTTAGATCCTAAGTCTTAGAAATAAGATCTCGCGTTGTCCAGGGACCTGGTTTACTTTTCTTAGCTTTTGTGCATAATAAAGACTTCTTTTAAAAGACCTTGAATCTCCGCCATATTCAACCTTATTTGTGTACAAAAGATTATGACTATATCTGTTTTTGTATTCTTACGTGCAATAAAATCTTACCCCCATAATCGATTTTCCGGGCGGGCGTGAGAAAATTTTCACTATAGGCGTGAAAAATAAATTCAATAAAGTCCTCTCCTGGAGTCCTTTTATTGTTTTAAACAGTTTATTGTTCGCGATAAGGATCTGCTCCAAGACGTGTTTCAGGTTCTCATAAGGTTGTAATGTTTGCGTTGAACTTGGCAAACAAGTTGTACATGATTAAAAGATTTTGTAATCTAGCGTTAATAGTTTTGAGTCAGAATGAACACAGAGTTTAGAAACAAGAACCGCACGGTACGGTTTTAGATATTATTCCCAGACTGTCGGAAAAAAGAGAAAACCGGACGTAACTTATAACAAAGAAAGGCTTGTTCCTATTGTTGCGTGCATGGGTTTTTAGATCTTGTTGGAGTGGTCGAGTATGCTTAGCTTTTTCGTTGTTAAGGAGGTTCAATCATATTTATAACGAACGTGATGGTATCTGTTTTAAAAGGTACGGTTGCGGGGCATATGAGTGGTCTTCAGAGAATTAGCATGCGATGACACTGACAGGGTTAAGAGAGGGCACGCACTTCATAAAGCTTTGCTCGCCTAAGTTTTGTACGGATTTGCGTCTTTGAAGGTCAAGCGGAATTCTTTCACTGAATTCTGAAAATAAAGAGGTAGTTTGGTCTCAAAATCGACAGATTTTATCAGCTGTCTACCAAAGGTGTTCAGGGTTATGGCGTTTTAGTAATAGAAAGTAGTCAAGGCTCGCGGATTGTGAAAAAAGAGCAAATTTTTGGGCGGCGTAAGCTTCCTTTGTTGTTTTAACGCGATCGTGGATTAGTGACACCTTAGGAACATTCCCAAATTTACAGCTTAGCATGAAGAGTGTTTACAGAGTGTTTTTTTTGTGTTAAAATTATTTAACAAGGAGTTAATCTGCAAAATTAAGTCCGCAAAGCCGAATTTAAACGATTAGGTTTTTGAAAATTAGACGTTTATGAATTCCAATGTTGCTACGTATATTCTCCAAATGGCGCATACCGAAAAACTTGACAGGGAATCAGAGCAAACAGAGAGAAAAACGAGGCAGGGGAAATGAATAGTTCTTGTTGCCCTGCTCAATGAAGAATCCACCAATAGCAATTAATTCAAGATTGGGATGATAATTTCGTTAGATAAAAATCGAAATTTCTGTACGAAAGCGCGACAACTACGGTACAATTTGCTTAGTATGTACACACAGCTTGAAGAGGTTTAGAATAACAAAGAACAGTTTGCAGAGGCTATCAATCCAGCTGTCTTAACATATCTATGACGAGCTACAGAATCTTGAAAGAAAAAAACAAGCCGACAGTTTTCTTAAAAATATAATACCCTTTCCACTTCTAGTGAAAAACAAAAAAACTCCGTTTAAAAGCAAATTTCAACTTTTATATCATATCGTTTTCCCGCGTCGCTTGAACTGTTTACGAAAAGGGGTAACAATACACTGAGTAATTTTGTTCATCTTTTTTTTCCATGACTTACGATTTTGCATATCGTACATCACTCACTGAGACTCAAGCAACTGATTTACCTTGACGCGAATCATTTTGTCCAACATATTACGGTCACTTAACGCCAGTCCATAAAGTGAACCTTTGAGTCTCAAATGATTTCAGAACTCGTATAAATATATTCTTTCCTTTTTATCCCAACAAAAAGATACTTGTCAAGTTTACAGTCTAAACCGGTGAAAGATTTTAAGGGTGAATGGAGCTGTGAAAACCGCTATGAAAGAGCTTTGCACCCCCTTTTGTTTCTTATCAGGGGCAACTGTCTTTTGTGACCTGTACCTGATTATGCATCCCAGTCGCACCTAGTCAACATTCTTCATTTAAGGGCTTCAAATTTATGAAAAACAAGAACTAACTGCTGGCTATGAAGCGTTGCATTCTTGATTCCGGTTTAACCACAACCCAAATCACCCTTCACGCTGGCCTTTTTTTTGGTGTACAACTACCCCACAAGATGTTTTGAATGACTGTGTGGATCACCCAGCAAACTGTATCAATAAATAACTTGAAAAACAAGGCGAAAGACAGTGGAAAACTATAATGTGGATAACGAACACTGTTAAATTGTGGCATTTAATCTGAAAGCTGTCTTAAAAGGTTCCAACTTCAGAAGGATCAAAAGTAAAATTCGATTTAACATACTGGTGAGAGCGAAAGCTTACGACATATTCCCGAAAAAGAGTGCAGTGTCTGAACATTTTTCATGCTACCCAAGTTTCCTACTCAGTTTATACCTATATTCTTTCAAGTTAAAATTACGTGACCGCTTATTTTAGCTTGATGAAAGGCCCTCCGGCCGGAAAACAAACACTTGATACAAAAATACAAAAGTAAAGTACGTCCAAGTATTGCACACTGCTGAGCTCTTAATCAAAACGATCGTTTTGTCTGGACGTTTTGTCTACAGTATGAAACTTTATAACAATATCGCTGCACTTTTAACCATGCTCAGCCCCAGAGAAAAGTGAACTCTAGCAGAACCTTTTGGCTAGGACCCGGAACCCTTTAAGATCCTTCACCCATCTTCCCACCTTCTCAAAAGCCAGAGCCACACTCGAGTGCTTAGCACAATAAATTAGAAGAGAACTGCTCCACAAATTAAGTGATACTTAATTGCGCACATTGCTTACGGAACTAAATATAGCAAACCATAATCAACAAGCGACAAGCTGCCCGCCAAGAACTGTACAAGACTGAAAATTCTGAAAGTTTCTTTCGCTTTCGACCTCTGCTTTAGGCGAAAATAAAACGGACACAAACTGCGACTGCCGTATTAAACTGCCGTATTAAAAGCTCGGAAAAAAAAAGTTTATTAGTTTACCATGCTGTCTTACTTGTACTTGTTTGAACTTAGCCTTTTCGTACTTGTTACTTATGCCGATCAGCTTTTCCCTTCATTTAATGAAACTAAACTCCAGCATATATTAGATCTTAGCCATCTCCTTCCGAGCAACGAGAAAATAATGAAATTCAAGCTAACCTAATTGACATGCCATTAGAACAAATATGTGGCAATATCCCGAATGAAATAAAAGAAACTTGGAGCGGGTTGGTGGTGCTTAAGTCAGGTGATACAACACTTTTATTATGAGTTTCTTCCAGGTGTAGAAAAATAATCTGGAACCGCAAACAAAGACCGAGTTGAGACATATCGGGGACAAAAAGAAAAAAAGCACCGTTAAAATAATTTCACCAGCCCTTTTGACCTGTGTTTGTTTCGTGAATCAATTTTATAATTTCTTAAGCTAACCAACTAACTCGTTGCCGAGGGAAACCTAACAGAAGCACTAAAAGACCTTTAGATGCCTTCATTCCGCCAATTTTTTTTTCTTTCCAGCCTTTCAGATCAGGCTTTATGTGATCTCATGAAAAGTGGATGGAAAGAATTTTGCTTACCTCCTTAGCGGGTTATAACTGATATTTAAGCCATGACCTTGAAAGTTACAATGTTTGTAGTAAGTTTGCCAATAAATAAGCTTCAATTTGTGCACGTGACGCAATATTGTTGTATCGCGTGTGCAAGATGGCTGCCATTTTGCGAAACCGCCATAGTTAAGAAACTAAGCATTGCTTGTTTCATGCCCTATAAGCTTTAAAGTGCGCTACCAAACATAGCATTTTGCTGATGTTCGTACTGCTTTCTACCTTTTTCCTTCGGCTCTTTGATCGCACAAAAGAAAACGAAAAACTCGCATTTTCGCTTATGACTTTTCGTTTCTTGGTCTTAAAAATTCTTAAAAGGATCCCAGTTTTCAATTTTACTTCCCTTGAAACAGGGTCAGGGTTTAAGTACTTTTGTTCGCAGCACGTACCTATCCTTAATATAACCAGTACATGTACCTCCACGGCCGTAAGTATAGCTTTTGTTTACCAGGGATGGTCAAACATTCGTTGTCTTTCCACTTGTTTAAAATTCAACTTACAATAAAAAAGTAAAACGAGTAGGCAAACGAACAAAGTTAAAGATAAACGAATTTCTTCATTGCTCTTGGCGGTGTCAGTAAGATCATCCTTCCTAGTAATGCTGGCATACTTGGTAGATGACAAGTGGGACGTGAGTGGTCTGAGTGCTCTTTGGCGGGAAATAAGGGATAGGAACTCACGCGTATTACTAAAATACGAACAGACCAATATTCTTAGTAAGATTGAGGGTTAAAGACACTTGAGTCTTACACGTATCTTGCACCGATTTTTCTAGATAGACCCCTTAATCACTGAAATAAATTCCCAATTTGGAGGAAGAAACAGTGGGAAGTTTTACATCACGGAAGTGTTTGTCGGTCGTTTGTCTTCAAACTGCGCTGGAAATTTGTAGATCTATTGTTTCGCGGAATCAGAAATGCTTCTCGATCCGTCAGTACCAGTAGTTTGTATCTACCAATGTGAGATGCTATTTCGTGCCCTCTTCACCAGCCTGCGAACGCAGAAGTATTTCCGGTCGTCGTTTCTCTCTACCCGAAAAGTCTACCTCTTAATTACTAACTCTCTCTTATAAATAAAATTGAAAAAAAAAAGAAGTTTAGAAAAAAGGGAAGTATATGCTGAAAAATAATCGACTGATTTACTT